ACATTCCAAAAAGTCGATACCAATATTTGATTTAATCCGATATCATTGCATAAGCTGCAGTCCACAAACATTTATGTCTTTTAATTAAAATTGTTAATATGAAAAGGTGCTACCAGATTTTTGGTTTTGGCCTATCATAGATTCACCTGGCTCTCCTCCATTTGTATGTATACATATACACATATGTATACACACACACACACACACACACACATGCAAAATAACATTCAATTTCATAGGCATCTTACAAGGAGTCTTCTTTGCAGCCAAGATTTTGGGGGAGGCTTCAGCTTGTGTATCTCTTTAAAATAATAACATTTTGTAATGTTACCTAGCAATATAAAAATATTCATATTGTATCTGTGCTTGTATGTATTTGTCCAAAATCAAATTTCTTATTCTTTCTATTACTTTCTATTATTTTTTTGTTTGTGACTACCACAGTATTTTTAAGTTTCACCTAAGAATAGATGGGTTGGAAGTGTTGGATAGTTTTCCCCCTCCCCCAACAATGGAGGAATCAACATTTTTATTAGCATGTTCCTTTTTCTGCCCCAGCAGTCCTTGGGGAAGATTCTAGGTTCAAAATAAAGCTACATCAGCAACTCATTAGACCTAATTGGAATGTTTGCAGAATATTCTCTGTAACTAACAGCAAACCTGAGTTGAACATTAATCACTTGTTTCCTTCCTTCTCCACATTTTAGCATTATCCTCTCTTCTGTCAGATGAATAATTGTGCAACTCAAAAGTCTGAACATACAAAATCTTAAGGAAGGTGTCATTTATTATTAAGACATAGTTTATTGACTGTTTGATGACAAACTTAATGTACTTTCCTTTTCCTGGCAATCATCACTTCAGAAATCATGTGTGGAAATTCCCTAAATCTGCTGTGGCCTTTTCATAAAAATTAAGTTTTTCATGTCTTTGCTTTTTGAAGACTGAAATGCTGTTGGTTTTTCAGCTTGTCCTATCCAGAAAGTTAGTTCAATCTAGTTGAATCTCAGAACTCCACTTCAAATACTGGAGGATTTTTGTGAAGATTTATAAATTGGTGCTTCAGAAAGGGATTTAGTAAAATGCAACTGGTTAGTTTTCTTTTTCTCCTGTCCTAGAGGTGACATTAAGATTGAATAATTTAATTGAAAACTTTAGTGTGAAGAATGGTAAAGCTATCAGAATAATACATGCTTTGAACAAAGTGCAAAATTAAAGAATAACAATAAATTGCCTGTATTCCAGTTAATCAAAACAAGCTTATTCGGACCTGTAAATATACAAGCATGTAGAAAGTTTCTGATTTTCTTCAATGTAGATTATGTGTACACAACAAGGTAGTACCTGAAATTTGGAACAATCACCATCAGTTTCACCATGTTATTTTCCCCACCCATGCAAGAGGACAGCTATCACACTGTAGTAGGATTTAACCATAGGGCAAATATTTTAAAGTTGGGTCTTGTTAGTGCTTCGATGAGCGATTACCACGAAATCCAAGGACTGCAAACTAGTCTAGGAAATAAAATGAGCATCCTAGAAGAAAAAAATAAGAAAGAACTTCAGTAATTTGCCAAATAACCTCTCCATAGAGATGTCCGCATGGCCACAAGAAGTTGGAATTTACTAGTGTGTCTTCAACTCTACCTGAATTTAAATGTACAGATAGTCCTCAACTTATGACCATAATATAGCCCCAGATTTCTGCCACTAAGCGAGACAATTGTTAAGTGAATTTTGCCCCATTTTTTTTGACCTTTCTTGCCATAGTTGTTAAGTGAATCATTGCAATTGTTAAGTTAGTAACACGGTTGTTAAGCTAATTTGGCTTCCCCGTTGACTTCGGTTGTCAGAAGGTCACAAAAGGTGATAAACATGACTCCAGGACACTGCGATCATCACAAATAAGAGTCAGTTGCCAAGCGTCTGAATTTTGTTAGATGACCATGAGGATGCTGCAATAGTCATAAGTTTGAAAAACGGTCATAAGTCACTTTTACAAGTGCTGCTGTAACTTTGAACGGTCACTAATTGCACTGTTGTAAGCCGAGGACTATCTGTACAAAGGTTCCTTTTGTAATGTGACCACTACATAGAGGGAAAACAAACATTTTCCCCTACCTCTTCTGTATGGAACAATTAAAATCTGCCACCCATTAGTTCTTCTTGCAGGTCTTCAGATCTGGTAGGACACCTACCATTGGGGGGGGGGGTTGTTTTTCTCCTAAAAATCTCATTAGCACAATACTTTGTTGATTTTCATTTTTTTCCCTACCTGATCTATATTTTGGTAGCACTTATCAGGTTCCTTCCATCCCACTGGATAAATTCGGACAGAAGGAAGCTTGTAGTCACCAAGGATAGTCTCCTTGCCCAATTTTCTTAAGCTATTCCCATTAAGATGTCTGGTTTGTAGGCTAATGTGGTCTTTTTCCACCCTACAGTTCTCCCAGCTACCAGCTTCATTCTCTCTTTCTTCTTGTTATGGGATGGAGGAAAGCATACTCTGTTTGCATTTTGTTTGTATGTGTTTACATGCACAGTTTGGGGAAGAGAGTTTTTCTTAACGTTGCCATGTTACCTTTGGTTAAACCGATATCTTTTGCTTTAAGGGAACAGATTCTTGGTAGCATCTGCAGCATCTGATTATCTTTTGTGAGAAACAAAATGCTAGATTAAGGTGACCTTGGCAAGTCTTATGTTGTTAGATAAGTACTTTGGCCCAATTATTTGTTCATCAGTTTTCTTTCTAAGAGAGGGAGATACATTTGTGTTGGGAGGTCAAATAAAGAAGTATAGGATTTAGTGTTCAATCTTTTTTTCTTTTTCTGAAAAAAAAATACTCATATTTTGTTACTGAGCTTCTGCCCTTCTCTCCTTCCCAGCAGCTGTTTTGTAGTGCCATGAGAACTTTAACGTTTCTTTAATATGCCATATACCAAATGCCAAAAATGAATAAATGTCCTTATGTCTTAATAAGTGGATCAAGTATGAAGCAATCTAGGTTAATGTGACAAAGCACTTAAAGAGTACTTTTCCAATACTATAGTATTTTTTTATATAATTGTCAAATTCCAGGTCCTTATGTTACCTTTGACTGGATTTTCCCTGAGAATAAGAATGATAAAAGTGATTTCCTAAGTAGGTCTTAATGGCATTAAGTTGCGTTCAGTGACATCTATTTTAAGGAAGAAATCATCTGCCTAGATAATTTGTGAACATCTCTGTAGGGGAGGCATCTTTAGCTTCACTTAGTAAGTGTTGTGATAAACAATCACAGGGACATTTTATTTATATAGTTTAGAATGGGCAATCAACTTGGACAGTGTTGACTACTTAATGCTATCACTCTGCCTTGTGGATTTTAGAATAAACCTGCCTGTAACAATTGCTCATAACTTAGAGACACAATTAGTTGCTACCATGGAACATAATAATATGTGCTTGTAGGTGGATGCTAACTTCATAGATCAGGGGTAGGCAACCTTGGCTCTTTTATGACCCGTGGACTTCAACTCCCAGAATTCCTGAGCCAGCATGGGAGTTGAAGTCCACGAGTCATAAAAGAGCCAAGGTTGCCTACTCCTGTCATAGATAATCCAGTTCTTGTGAGATTGTCAAATTGTGTGACTGACACTGAATTTATACATGAAAAAACAGTGTAGATAGATAAATAGTTAGACAGAGGTAGAGATAGGTATACAAAATAAGAATATCAGCCATGGCATTTAATAAAATAAAACAGATAATATATCCTATAGTAATGAAATAATATGTGAATAAAAGTAGTGCAGATACAAGTTATACGTCATCAAAGTCAGATTTGACAGTTCCAAACATAAGTCCAGCTGGCCTTCTTGATTTATTCCCAGCTTGGCCTAAATTTGGGGTTCCAATTTCAAGACTAGCTCTGAGAGTACAAAGCGCTAAACATATATTGAGGAAGACTGTAAATTCTATAAAAATTCAATGCCTCTCTTGACCAAAATTATCTTGACTGTTGATTTTTCTAGATTAAGCCTTTATTTGTTTGATTTCTTCCCATGTATTGCCAACAAAGGAAATTAGTTTAAAAACCTTCCTTGGATATCGATGGAAACAAAAAAGAACAAGTAGTGATATAAACATATTTATAGCATAAGTCCCAAAGTCAGTATAACCTACCTCAGTATAAGTCAGTATAACCTACCTCAGCATTTTCATATATATGTTAAAAAGCAAACTGGGCAATATTGAACATGATGTAGAAAGAGGTGAAACCCATAAAAAGTGCAAATATTGAAAGAGAAACTTTGTCCCCTTTCCTATTCGTTATGCTGCAGAAAAAAAATAAGTGAAAATAATTGGTAGCTTAAATAAATATAAAACTATATTCCTGATTTTGTTGATATATATTTATCCAAGAATGTGTATACTGGGAAGGATCAAACCATGTTTCATAATATAGATGGAATGGAAAATGTAATTATAAAGTGTTACCTATTAAGGTATTTTTTTCAGATTTTTATTTATACCATCATAATGTACTAATTATTTTTTTTAAAAAAATAGGATATGCTCACAAAGAAATAAAACAATGGCCGAAGTTCTCATTTGAATAATTATGAATATTGAAATAATGTGCATTTGCAAAGTGCAAAGCAGCTCTAACATTGGCAACTGTTATAAGAAGCAAATGTGTATAACATTTCTATTATTGCCATAGTCTGGTATTGTAAAAAGATGAATTGTGTAGAGCTAAAATCCTGAACTTGCCTGCTGAAAAGTGATTCCTTCTAGAATTGAATTAATATCTCTGTGTGCATACTGATTCCCTAAATGTCTTAAATTGCAAACATAGCTTTCCCCCCAAAAGTTAGGATAGAAACTCAAGTATATGGCTACCATAAACTCTAAAGTGGTCTAATAGATTCATTCACCATTGAATGGGCTGTTAAGATTAGATAATAAAAGTGTGATTACTTTTTAAAGCTTTTCTTTTCTTGATTTTGGTTGGGCAGTAAACTGGCTAAGAAGCGCAAGGATGCCATGGGAAACACCAGACAAGAAATGACCCATATGGTGAATGCCATGGATCGGAGTTATGCTGATCAAAGCACCATCCATGCAGAGGATCCTCTTTCAGTCACCTTTACGGATTGTCATAACTTCAACCCCAGATGTAAGTATGATAGTCCCACTGCCACTGAAGTTAGTATCTTGCCTCTGTTTATATCTGCTGTACATTGCATTTGGTGCCATAAAATATATATTTTATGCAAGGGAATGCTATAGTACAGTTACAAAATGTTTGTCCTTGCAGACCAAAAAAAAAATCAAACACAGAGAAATTTAGAAAACATGTTTATAAAATATAATTTTCTGAGGCTATTCTCTAAAAAAAGCAGTAGAAAGTTTACTCCAAAGCCATAATTTAATACCTTCCCAGTTCTTTGCTTGATAAGTGCTGGGTCCAAAGATGAGAAACATAAAGGGTAGTACTTTAGAGAACTAATGTATATATAAATTCCCACAGCAAATTCCTTTTCAAGATAATATTTTAAGTGATCTCCCAGTGTATTACTGTTGCAGTTTTGTAGCATGTAAATTGCTTCGGAAACAGCAGGCCATGATTACTTTCTATTCTTTTATTAAAAACTCTAGTATTACATCATATTTTCCTGGTATTAATCCACAGAAAATGATAAGATGTTGACTTTTTTTCCTTCAACATTGAACATGCAATATATGGATTGATACAATTGTTCTCTCTGTATAGAAAGAATTGTAGCTCTTTAAAACTTAAATTGCAAAAGTGCATATATTTTTGTAAAAAAAACCACCTTGTATTTTGCAAATGGAATCTCAAAATCTGTAAAATCATGTCTGAGAAAAACGGATTTCCATATAATCGGAGGTTTTTTTTATCATTGTTCTCACATTAACCTACTATGATTGTATGCATATGTGTGTACATATACACAAATAATTTGATACTCAAATTACTTTTTATTTCAACCTTTTGGGATATTGTATTTATATTTAGATCCTTGTCTAATTAGTAACTGTGTGTGTCTGTATGTCTGTGTATGAGTTCCATTAAAGGGTATTGTTTATTCTAATTACACAACAGCACTGCTGCCAATAACTTCAGAACAGAAACTACTATAGGCTAGGATGCAAAGCTGAAGAAACATAAGGGCATTACCAAAAAGAGTATTATGAATTCTTTCAAACAATATTTTACTGCATGCGATGCAGATGTATACGGGGGAGAAGGGGAAGGGTATATAGGAGATCTTTCTTCCCTGAATGTCTGTAAGACATCTTAAAATTTGGCTGCAATTTTAGTTTTCTCACCCTATTTTCTACTCAGGCCCATGTTCCCCGGCAAAAAACCAAGCCAGTTCAATAGATAACTGAGCAATTTGAACAATAGGGAACACAATGCGAAGGTGGTTGTTGAAAAATCCAGGCCAAATCTGGGAATGGGAAGCCACCACCGTCAACTAAGAGTATTTCCCTCATTTCCAATAATGGTTGGAATGAGCAATGAAACCCTATTATGTTGCATAGGACCAATTGCAGGGCCCAAGAGGCCAAATTTTATCGTTGCCTGCCAATTCCCCCAGGAATGTTGGCCAGCCACAGCTTTACTCAAGCCATGCCAAAACTTTGCTCTACTAAGAAAGTTAGACATTTGGAAGCTTAAAACTCTGGCTTGTCTTCCTTGCTGAGCCCAAAGAATTCTGAGAGCAGTAATTGCTTCCTAAGGTTGAATTAGCCTTTGGCAGCTGCTCTGGTAAAGCTATCTAAGCCTTTTCTCCTTAGCTTTCAGGAAGAAAATGCTTAGATTATGACTAAATCCAACCTGTTTAGACAGTTGTATAAATTTATCGCACTGTTTATTTTGTTAAAAAAAAGCAAACATTGTTTTCTACAACGTGGTTTTGTATTTCCTGTTTCACGAATAAGATGAAGAGGCTTTGCTGTGTGTTCCAAAAAGTCTGTGCTTCTTTTCTTCTTTAAAAAAAAAAAAAAACAGTTGGAGGCAATGAATTTTTTTCATAAGCTTTGTTTTCCTGCAGTGCCCAACGATCCACTTGTGCCGACTGCTGTGTTAGGTGAGGACTTAGTCCTTCATCTTCTTTTCTTTCATGACTTTTATGTTTATTGCACGTCCAAGCAGCTAGTTACAGATTTAAAAAAATGGGCCTGGTGCAGGGGTAGGCAACCTTGACTCTTTTATGACTCGTGGACTTCAACTCGCAGCCATGCTGGCTCAGTAATTCTGGGAGTTGAAGTCCACGAGTCATAAAAGAGCCAAGGTTATTATTACCCCTGGCCCGGTGCTTAGCAGAACATATAGGTATATTCAGCTACAGGTAGTTCTTGACTTAGACCACAATTGGGATCAGAATCTCGCTTGTTAAACCAGGTGGTTGTTACAGGAGTCATGCCTGGTTTACGGCCTTCTTTGCTATGGTTTTAAGTGAATCACTGCAGTTGACGGATGAGTCACATGGTCATTAAGAGAATCTGGCTTCCCCCATTGACTCTGTTTCTCAGAGGCTGGCTAGTAAGGCCATAAACGGTGATCACATGACCTCAGGATACTGCAACCATTGCAAATACACGCCAGTTGCCAAGCACCCCAACTTGGATTACACGACCACTGGGGATGCTGTGATGGTCATAAGTGTGATGATCACTTGTCCCTTTTTTCCCCAGTGCCGTTGTAACTTCAAATGGTCACCAAATAATTGGTTGTAAGTCGAGAGCTACCTGTACAGGTTTTATTTCTTCCAACAATACTAATGTAAGCAAGAATTTTTAGGAGCTGAAAGATGGGTATGCCATATGCAGTTCCACTGATAGTGGCGCTAAAATAACTCTAAGGACTCTAGAGAGAAATAACGAGTCTTGGGAATTGTACTTCAGCAATATCTACCACAGCAGGTTAGATGCCCATTGTCTAAAATGTTTACTGAAATTCTGTGGGTAAAAAATAAAAAGGTCAGTTTTGTCCATATTTGTGATTGTCACCCCCTTTGTATTCCACTGCAAAGCTCAGCCTGCCAGTAAGTTGCTCTAGCATGCCAGCTTAGAGCTACCAAGGTTCTTCTCACAGTAAAGGAATATTGTGTAGCCCATCTGGTATGGCTGCTTGATGGCACAACTTATCTTCTGCAGTACATAATCCATTCTGGGGGGGGGGAATGATAACATGGAGCTAATTAGGGATGGTGGTGTAAAGTTATTCTGGACCATCACTGCTCTATAGGCAGGAAAATACTTCAGGAGTTAAAATAATGTTAGATGTGGTGGCATTCTCCTAAAAGTCTCAACCTGTGGCTCATTGTAGATCTTAAACAGCATGGGAGTCAAGATTAAACCCTGTAATTATTATACTAATCTATCATTCATATCTGGCCAAATAAAATGATTATATGGTATATCAACCCCCATCTGAAGCAGGTAATCCAGAAGGATACCACTGGTATCAAGGACATTTTCCAGGCACAGAACAAGCATTCTAGGCAGAATGCCAAGGTATTCCAAGACATTCTGAGTAGCTCCAGGTTCAAATCTGTATATTTTTAGAAAGCTCATGGATATTGTGATGATACATACATACCTTCAACTTAAGTGCAATAGGAGGGACTATGCACTTTAAATAAAGTGGGTATAAATAATAAGAATCATGAATCACTTAGTGTCTTAATACTTTTCTAAGAACAGATCAAGCTGAAAGGTATATCAAAATGGTATACTCACCATGGACACTCTGTTCAAGAATGTCTTAGATGTTTTAAGTACTTCACTTTTATCCTCTGTTTCCTTCTAAAACCTCTAAAACATCCTTCTAAAATCTAACACTGAATAGGCCCATCTGTTTGAAATCTATACTAAGTCTTTTCTTGTAAGATCCATCCAAAGCTTCATGTCAGATCTCCTCTATTTAGCTTCAGCTATTTAATAATTAGTGAATTACAATTTACAACCTTAAGCGATGAATAAAAATTAAACTAGACAATTCAGTATTGTTTCCTGAATACTTTTTATTTACTCTGATAGTAAAGCACTAAACAACTATATTTGATATGACATTAGTAATAGCAGTAGTAAGTAAGGCATTAAATTATATTTGATATTTGACATGACATTATCAGAACCTCCAAGTAGGCAAAAATCATTGTTTTTACATGCAAAGGTTAATCTATTAGAACCTCAAAGAGCAAACCCAGGGCAAAATGGACAGATTGACAGATTCAGCAGACATTCCCATCCCGCTATTAGTTTTTGTTACCTTTTTCACCTTTATTTATGTGAAGCAAGATGCCTTAGCTGGAGGTTGTGGGTGTTTGCACTTGACTTATGTATTAATGAATATATGTAACAACAACAACAACAACAACAACAACAACAACAACAACAACAACAATAATAATAATAATAATAATAATAATAATAATAATAATAATAATAATAATAATAATAATAATAAAGTTGGAAAAGACCTTGGAGGTCATCTAATCCAACCCTGTGCTCAGGCAGGAAACCCTATACCATTTCAGACAAATATGTGGTCTCTAATAGTATATTATTCTTATTGTTTTTCATTAATTAAATATTTTGCAT